ACTCTTCATATTTATTAATTTTATATTAATTTTATAATTTTTAATAAATTTTAGTATATTCGTAAATTTGATTTTAAATAAAATTGAATATGTAAAATTGTTTTTGATTGAAATTATTTTTGAAGTGATAGATTTACAATTAAATGTTTTTATTCAAAAAAACAAGTTAATAGTAAAAGTTGTATAAAATAACAATAATTGATATTTTGATGTGATTTTGAATGAGTTAGGCTTAATTTACTTTCGGTCTCTAGTAGTTTTATAAAAGTACCATTTTAGTTTCTTAAATTTTTTTGTTACAAATTTAGTCTCTCAAATTTTTAAAATTAAACAATATTAGTCTACCATTAAAATGTCATTCGAACTAAAAAAAAATGTTTCTATTCGTAAGTTACACCACTTAGCTGTTACTTAATTAGTCACTTAGTTTTCATGTAAAGAACATCATTATTAATTTTTTACTATAGATATGTTATGCTTATTTTTTATTTCCATTAAAATTTACAACTCATTAAAATATTTTTTATATATATTTTAATACTACTATTTTCCTAAGTGACTAACTAAACATAAGTTATATCACTCACGATCACTTGTCACTATTTTATATATGTTTAATTTTGAATAGCATGTTATATGTTCTTTTACATAGTATGATCTAGAACATAATTTGAAAGTCAATCTCAAGATCAACCTTCCACAATCCAATTTGTATGATGAGGTATCGTCGCAAGCAATACTACTATTCTCTCATCCTATCAATCTTCCTAGTGAGAATCAATTCATTGGCTTGGCTTGCTTTATTTTGCACTGATGAAGCCGGGAAAGATTGAGTTCAGGCAAGCAAGTACACAAAAAGGCTATTGCTCATTTGTTGCAACTAATGAAGGTTTAGTTGGAGCAATTACTATAGCATTTTGCAATTACAGGTGATTGACTCTTTCCTAATAGAAAATAGAGTATATACACACTTGCTAAGGATAGGAATATCCAATACTTCCTCTTTGGTGAACTACTTGTTGGAGTCAAACACCAGAAACACTTTATGTTAGTCCCTTAGCCTCGTATATAACTTAAGAGGGGGTGAATTAAGTTTTCTAAATTTTCCTCTTATAAAAACTTTTCCAATTACTTTCTTATCACTTTATTTTCTTAGACAAATTTGCATGTAAAGAATGATGATGAAGAACAACTCAAACACAATTAAATAACAAATAAATAAAAGTGTAGGGAAGAAGAATTGCAAACTTGATTTTATACTGGTTCGGCCAATCCTGCCTACATCCAGTCCTCAAGTCTCCCACTTGAGAATTCCACTACTCTTGTAAACCTTACAAGAAAATGAATCCTCCAACACCTCGGAACTCCCTTTCCTTGTGTTGAGATTCAAACACCAACAAGGAGAAAAACCCTTTCTCCTTTACAGATCCAATGATCTATTAAGTATTACAGAATGACTCTCTTGAAGAGTGGATATTACACTTTCATGATCTTTGATGAACTCTTTAGAGATTTTGCAAATGATTTTGGCCAAGTGATTTGTAAAGATTATTTTTCACAATTGAGTTCGTCACCTTTCTCTGAAAAATTATAGGTATTTATAGACAATTGTATCTTGAGTTATGTCTTTTCATGAAGAGTTGTAACTCTCTATAATTTTTCAGAAAATAGGCTTTGGTAATCGATTACAAGTCTTGGTAATCGATTACAACGGTTTAAGTTCAAAATGTTTGAAACGTTGTATAGTTCAAATTTGAATTTTGAAATTTCTCTTCTGGTAATCGATTACAGTCAGTGGTAATCGATTACCAGAGAGCATTTTAACATTTTGAAAGGGTTTCTTTCTCTGGTAATCGATTACAGCAAGTGGTAATCGATTACCAGAAACATGTCACTTATTTTGGCTTATGAAAACCTAAGATATAAAGAGCTTCTATTTTCCAGTTAAAAATATTTTTATTTAATCTTTTGAATACTCTTTTTGCTTTCTTTTCAAACAACTTATTCTTATATTCAAAAGTATTAAGTTTAGGTTTTCTTGAAATTCTTATTTTAATGGCCAAGTCAAAATTTGCAAATTCTAAAAGTTCATTTTACATACTAAGCTAAGCAGTCAAGACTTATCTGGTTATTACTTGAGATCTTGCTTCTTGATCAGCTTGCTTTAACTTGACCTTTATTTTCTTCAATGCTTTGGCATCATCAAAACTTTGTGCATATTTTCTTCCACACTTTACAATGGGTGGTGAGAGAATCACTTAAGTGAACTTGACACCACGTCATAACCCAAAATCTTAAGGCATTAGGTTAATGGATCATTGTCACTTATATACTAATTAATATGTCAAACTCTATCGGATGTGAGACTCTTGTTCAGCTTAAACTCTATCACTCTTCCTCAAGTGCAGGTCTCTTTCACATGATATGTTCCCCCTCAAGCAAAAGTCTTTCTTATCATCCACAAGTATTTAATGATTGTCTACTTGCACCATTGTTGGCACACATCAATAGGACATGTCGCCTACATCACTAGGAAGACTTTCGATGTAAAAGATGACCTCATTCTTGGATCTCTTGTCTATTCCATTGTTCGATGTATAAGGTATTTCACTCTTGGATCCATCGTTAATTCTATTGGTCAATACTTGTCTTTGAGTTGATTACTTGGTTGACTCAGTTCTAATACCATTGTTGGGGAGTTAAACTTAGGGAATCATTCCAATGGGTATGATATGGGTAAAGCACACAAGTCAGTTTAACACCACATCATAACCCATTTGAGTGCTCTCGATGTTTAACTCCCTAATAATGATATCAAAGTTAAGTCAACCAGGTGACTGACTCAAAGATGAGTATTGACTAATAGAATTGACGATGAATTCAAGAGTGAGATCTTTTATTGATTAATGGGATTGGCAGGAGATTCAAGAGTGAGATCATCCCTTGCATCAATCCGATGTAAGACTCCTATTTACACTTGAACTCCAACAAAATTAACATGAATTCAAATATACATTAAATCAATAATAAAAATTAAATAAAAGTATATTTTAAAGGAAGTGTATTTTTGTAAAAAGAAGCTAAACTATATATATATATATATTATTTTTTGAAAAAATTATTTGTTATTTATCTTTTTAAAAAAAATATTTTGATCTTTTAACTTTTAAATTTGAGTTAATAATAATGGCTTATATATATATATATATATATATTATTTTTTGAAAAAATTATTTTAGTTATTTATCTTTTTAAAAAAAATATTTTGATCTTTTAACTTTTAAATTTGAGTTAATAATAATGGCATTTTGAAACAATGATTTTCCTCCAAATTTGAAATATAATATTAAATATTTTTTTTATTAATTCAAGATGTGAAATTCATCATATTAAAAGTGTGTTCAGTAAAACCAACTTATATTAATAATTGGTTGAAAGATTCCTGAAATCTTATAAGCCTTAAATTAGGAATTGAAAAGCTGAAAAACTCATAAACAAACTAATTGAATAAACTAATTGAATTAAAAATGTTTGATAATATTAATGGATAATAATGTAAAATGACTTATTTATTTATTTAATAATGAAAGGTAAAGAATAATATGTAGGTAAAATAGTTTCTAAATTAAAAAATAATAAAAATAATTTCAAGTAAATTAATAAAGATTAAAAAGGAAGGAGAAAAAAGTTAATTAACTTATAAAAATAAATTATAAATTCCTAAAATAAGCTGCAGTACTAAATAAATTTATTTTCCTTAACTTTCCTTATAAATTAGTTAAAAAATGTTATAAACTTTTAAAATATCATACCAATCATACTCTGAATTTATTCAAATGAAAACTATGGAATTCTTATGATGTAAAGGTGATTATTTCTAAAGATAAACAATGAAAAGTAATATTTTATAAAAGAAAAGAAAAAGTTATGGAATATTATTTGAATTAATTAATGAATATTATTTGAATTAATTACTTTTGTTCTTGTTTCATCGTCCAACTGGTTGTTACTTGATTCTGAGTCAGAGGTGATAGGGAAAG